GACAAGTATTGACCAATCTCTTGTCCAACAGATTCTAATATTACAAATCCGACAAGTTCAAATTCTTTTAAGCGAGTCATCCACGGATCGGATACTACATAGTTGGCCCAATAATCATGATGTTCTTTCGGATACTGAAAATAGCTAAACGTGAGCTTGTTGCGAAAGTTTGCTAGAGTATCTTTAGCTGTTGAACATATAGCTGAAATAAAGTCGTCCACAGTCTTTGATGCCAGTGTGTTTGCAAGCATTGATGGCGCTTGTTCAGTTGGTGCTGGCAGTGGCAATTGATAGTAGTCTATCTCTCGAGCCAAGTCTTCTTGAGAAAAGGCGATTAAAGATGCCGTTCCGTTGAACGTAGGAATCGTGGGTATGACACCTGTTCTATAAAATTGTAATATATACCAGAAGAGATATCCATCTCGATCTATGAATACTTCTCCATTTTTGATTTTTAGCATTTCTCGATTACGTGGTGAGAACATCACGCCAAGCAGTGTATCCGGATAAGCGGTTAGCGTAGATATATAGGTTTCATACTATTAAATAAGTGTTGAGAAGCATAGTTTAGAAAATCAGGTTCGTATTTAAGAGTTATCGGATGTTTCTGGTTTGAAAAGCTTTTTGTTACTGATTAATATACCTTTACACTACCAACATTCAGAATAATTCTTTCATCTTGGATCAGTTCTGTTTGCGGGAAATCGCTAGACATTCTGGCAATTTAATGATCTTAAATCGATATTTTATCGCATATACATTATATATATGTTCATGCATATCATGTGGTATGGTGCACAGGTAGCGTTTGACAATCGTTATTATTACTATAATTTAGGCATTTTTAAATGTCCTTTACTACAATGCAAAGATGTCCAATGAAAATCTCTAGTCTACCGGGTAAACCCGGTTCAATTAAAATATATCATTCTCGTGCAACATACTTGAACGATTGACATTAAACTATTAGCAAGCCAAAATGAAGTGGGCACCCGAGTCCGTCGAGAACCACTTTATAAATGTTTTCTTCTCACACTTTGCAAATTCCTAAGGTAGTATGTAAACACCATTGATTAAACTACTGATCAGAGTCGGTATATTAGCACAAAATCGCGAAAATATCGACTATCGAGAGAATTGAAGCGATGCGAAGAAGGATATGGACAGGGAGTTGAAAAAAAAACTGCGGCGCAAACGAACAGAATAACAGAAAGAGCATTAATTCCGGTAAAGCTTTGTTAGATTCGTTGAAGGTTGAAATTGGGTCGAGAAGCAGATGCAAAACCTGCGGAAATATGTTCGCCGCAACAGCCGCTCAGGCAGGCAAGGTTTTCGCAACTCGGGTGTTAGGGACATAGAATAGTGTGCCCTTAGAGCAGACATAGTAAAAAAAAGTTTATTAGTAAAACCGCTGTACTCTTGACTAATACTAAGAAAGCAAGGCTTATAGCTAAGTAGAACAAGTTGCGGGGGAAAATTGCTGAGAATGTAAAGTCGAGCGATAATTTAACGGGTTTGGCTTGTACAAAATTTTTTCTGGGACTAAGTAATATTAACATAGCAGCTTTTATATTTTAAACGGTCATCCGGACTAAAAATTAGCTTATTATGCAGATAATTATAATATGGATTCTAATGTTTCCTTTGATGTTGATTGCGGCCCAACGCGAGTTTTTGAAAAAAATGGTTTACCATAGGTTAAAGTTGTTTTTCCTCACGTAACTCCATGCGTGGATAGTATTGTAAAGCGTTGAATAGTTGTTTTATTTAGAAAAGACCGCTTTGCTCTAATTATAATTCAAAGGCTCACAGGACTAATTTTAGCCGTTTTCTTTCGCTTGTTGGATTAAAATAGAAACCCTTTGCGGAAGAACTGAAGCAAATTTCATTAAAATTACGGTAAGCAGTACGTTCATTCACTTCCAACCCTGAATGCATTTCGCCTTTAGTTCTTTAGCTGTTATAAAGTGATCGTGCTTAACAATCGTTTTGGAAAATTTTTTGTATTACGAACGTTCTTTGCCAAAAATTTTACGACTTTACGCTTAGTTTTAATACATGTGGGTGCGTTGTAAGCGCGCATTTTATTGTTTACATTTCAAATCCATCCAATTTGGTATAATAAACAAATGTACAAATTGAGGATATTGGTGGCGTTACGACAACAAACAAAGTCGCGTCTTTAACTGTACATACTGTAGTTTTAATATTAAGTAATAAATAAATATGCCAATTTCCATCAATAAAATTCTAATCGAATTCTTTTTGGAGCATACTTTGTAAATGTTGGCTTAATAATACGAGAGCTTTAATTCACATAATAAAGTGACAATGAAAACACTACAAGACGGTCAAACTTTGATAACATGACTGCACGTATTTCGACCTAGAAAATGAAATTCCTACATCGCTATCGAATTATTTATCTTATAAAAGACAAATAATTCAAAATGCTTGCTTTCACTATTCAATTCTCGTTTATTGGGATTTATTCTTGATTTTCTGCTCCAGTATAATCAAAAAACCTATTGTCAAAGAGGAATGGGAATGAATCATTCACTTTCCAAAAACATGCAACAAGAGGTTTTTTAAACATCAATCACCGGGCAACCATCGGACGATCTGATTGGCGCATCAATTGTTCCACAACGTGATACGCCACACGGAACGCAGCGTACACGTTCGCTTGTCTCTGACAATATTAACATAAACCCGCTATTTACCATATTCCTGATTTGTTTTTTTGCTTCATATGTGCAGAAGAATAAATAAGAAAAAACAACGCTACAATATGGAAATAATACGTATTCCTATTACACGACAAATCTGGATATAAGATGCCATCCAGGCAAAATCTAAATGACTTTACTTTTTGATTTGTGATGCAAGTGACCTTATAAAGTTCAATAAGACACGAGTATAAACACAATGAGATTATTAATACGTGTAAAAAGTAATAAGGGAGTTAGTGAAGCCGGAATGAATGAAATGACACGCAAAAATGTATTCCAAAATCTCCGAAACTCTCTCAAAGACTTGGAGAGGGAGATGACTGCATTGCATATAAAACTAAAAAATATCGCCCGACAGTGCTACTTTTTATACTCTGCCATATACGGTAATGACCCAACACCTGGCACCATAGAAATAAAAGTTGTGATTATGAAACTTTACATGATTGATTATCGATGAACATCTATATATTAATATTTACTACAGCACTCGCTTAATATTAAGATTATCTTAACTAGAGACATGTGTGTGTGCAAACACGCCACGAGTGGAAATTACGTAAGAAATGCTTAAAATTAAATGATGTCTATTATAATTACATGGCGCATAATCTTTCCTTCAAAGAAATAAAGCATTTGCGTACTTATAATTTACTCGCTCGCTTATTCTTTTGACATTTTGTAGTTGAGTTACGCAGATAGTGCAACATTGACAAGCATTAACAAAAATTTTCATGACAAACCAAATAATAAACTTTGCTACTCCAATGAATGATAAAGATTATCATAATCATATATCTCAGTCAACTGCCTTTAATTCGGACATCAACTTTCCGAGGCAATCGTCCGAATTATCGTAGATGGACGAATCATCGATACAATGTGTGACAAAAATAACCGTAAATTTTAATATAAAAATATCAATGTGGATATTTATCGAAAAAGTTTTTTAAAAATAACTGTTTATACTGTAAGTTACGATAATATAAAACTCAATTAATTAGAAACCGCTCATTTGTGCCTACAAAATTTGTTATTCCTAAACGCTTTGCATAGACACGATAATCGTGTCTCCGGTGAGTGGAAGATTGTTTCGATTATTGTTGTCGTCCATAGCCATAATGCTTGTTCTAATTCTGGCCATTTCGGAGGTCTATGTTTCAAGCGTTGCGTAGAAGTTTTATTAATGTCAATAGATAACCATTTTTCTGATTGAGCAATAATATCTTGTATCGTCTCCATAGTCTTGCCAAGACTACGATAGGATATATGAGGATTGTCTCTTTGACGTTTACATATTTCCTGCTTTGTGCAGCAGTTAAATGTCTATAGGATTTGGGGCATTTTTTACCAGTATTGTTTTGTAACGATCCATCAAACTCTTTCGTGATTTGGACGGCTGAATTTTATTAAGCGTATTAAAGAAAGGAAATTTGAATAAGCGTCCGAATTAACGAGAAATTATTACATATAGGAAGGATCGTAATGAACGAATTAAAATTGGGTTTTTACAATACTTAATTTATACAATTGATCGCTTACAGCTGTTCGAACCGAATTATCGAGATTTCATAATTATGGACGAATAAAAGGAAGGAATTTGACATGAAAAAACGAGTCCGGCGTCAAGTGTCCGGATTACCGAAAATCCGAATTAAGAGGGGACGAATTAAAGGAGTTGACTGTAGTAATCTAAAATGGATAGGAATGGATAAATGATATATACTTGATAAATAAAACTATGCAGAAAATACAAATAAATATTTCTGTTGTACAATTCATTTAATCAACGATTTCTGCTTACGAATAATTATAGCAGCGTCCCATGCCACAGGGAAAGGCTAGGCCGCAGTTATCGATGTAATAGTCGCTAATATAGCAACCCCAGTCATAGAAATAGTCCCAAACGTTATCGCCATGTACAGGTGGTCCCGTTGTTAGTCACCCGGTTATACCCCGACTACCTGCAGGTATGGTAATAGAACTACCTCGTTGCGGACCACCGTAGTAGCATGGAGCATCAGCGATAACCCTGCGGCCGAAGTAGCATGAGCCGTCATGGCTGAGGCAATTGCAAAGATTGTCAAAAGGTAAATTTTGGTTGTGAACATCATTTTTTGTTCTTGTATAAGCAAGTATGGATTTGCTTAAAACAACAAAGCTAAGAAAATTGCTTTATATAAGTTTTCTGGTGCTTTGCTCTTGACTAACTCATGTCGTCATAAGATGACGTCAACTATATTTTAAGAAGAAAACTTAAAAAAATGTTAAGAAGTTTCTTGTTATACGGTGTACTTTATTTTATAGCTTGTTTTTTTATAATAAAGTGTACATCAGTCGTCAGAACTATCATGTCGTAATACGATGACGTCAACTATACAAGATATATTTTAAAAAGAAAACTTAAAAAAGCATTAAGAAACCCTATTGTTCCTTTGTTATGCGGTGTACTCTTTATTTTATAGCTTATTTTTCTAAGCTAGTTTATAAACGCCAAGAACTCATCAAAGAAGAGGCACATGAATATATTACGCAATTTGTTGAGAAATGAAATAATTCAAAAAATTGGTTAACGCAACGACGATCCTAACATCATTTAGAGACCGGCTTTACTGGTTGTGATAATGAGTGAAGAATTCCGTTCATAGCTTTAGAACCGAATTTATTCATATCTGTGTCTAATCCAATTTCTGAGTGTTAATATCAGTACCAGGCAGGATATTGTGCGGGAACTGGTGCATACTTACCAGACATTTTGGACTTTAAGACATTAATTGGTCTTTACTGCATCATTAACGTTTAAGGATATGCCATATGAAAAACTTGTTCGATTTATTAACGTAACTATCCGGTGGCTCCTGCCCTGTATATTGCAAATTTTGGGTGCTAATGATATCGTAACATCAGCCATGTTTTGATTATGAGGCGGTATATTGTTCTGTAAATTAAAAATTCTCTGGTTTAAAAAATCATTCAACACCAA